CCTTGCAAACAGAATGCCCAGAGTTTTTCAAGCAACAGCCAGATAGCTATGGGCTCAGGGCAAGCAGGCCCCTGGGATGAAGAGTAATTGGTTTTATGAAAAATTGGTTCTTTTTGCCAAAGAAACATGAGGGAAAGTTTGCAGGATGACTTCTAGGACAGACTTTCTCCTTTGATCAAAAGGAAAAGCCGTGCTTAGCAGGGGTGGCTCAGTGGTTGAGCATCAACCCATGAACCAAAAGGTCACCGGTTCGATTCCCGGTCAGGGCACATTCCCTGGTTTGGGGCTTGATCCCCAGTAGGGGGTCGTGCAAGAGGCAGCCAACTCATGTCTCTCTCATGGATGTTTCTTTCTCTCTTTCCCTCTCCCTTCCTCTCTCTGAAATCAATAAAAACATTTTAAAAAGAAAATTCAATATTTAAAAAAAAAAAAAGGAAAAGCCCTGCCAGGAAAGAAGCTGCTTTTCCCCAGCCCCTTCCTTCCACGAGGAATGTCCCGTGTGTGTGAGGATGTGGGATTGAGGTGCAGCAGCCATCGGTAGCCACGAGGCACCGGCAAAGAGAACCACGGATGCACAGACCAGAGTGGTGCATGGTTGAGCCACCAAATGGGTTGTGAAGCCAGTCAGCTACCTCTAGGCTTCTTAAGCAATAAATGTCCTTATGATTTAAGTCACTTTTTTTCAGGTTCTGTTTCTTGCATCTGAATACATAATTGACTCAACAACAATGGGAGAGAAAAAAACTACTAGCAAGATATACATCAAACTGTTAACAGAGGTCCCATGGGGAAGGAGGGAAAAGAGGGCTTTCACTTTCTAAAACATATATTTTCCCAAATGCTATATTTGAGTATTGCTAATGCCAAAAATGGGGGGAATATACAGCTCAACTTTAGCAACCATGTATATGGCCTACGTATCTGGGTTCTAATTTCCCATTTTCCCCAGGCCCTGGTTCACATGTATTTTCCCTTTTGACTGTGTTTTGGAAAGCCACTTCAAATCTTACATGGAAAGATGGTAGAAGCAAACAATGCAACAAAGGGTATCAGCCCTATCACAGAAGTCCATCTCGGGCTTGCTAGATGTGCAGAGTTTGAGAGGCACAAAAACCAAGGCAAGGAGGAAGCATCAGAAAAACAAAGGCGCGGTGGAGAAAAGCAGCCGGGGAACCTTCACGTAGCTCACTTTGTAAAGTATATGGTCACCTAACCACTCTGCCGTACACCTAAAACTAATACCAAATGACACTGAATGTAAGCTGCAATTGAAAAATAACGTTAAAGAGTATACACACCCTTTTTTGAGGACCACTCATCTTCATAAGGATGATGGCTTTAACGTTAGGATGTTCCATCTCTCTGAAATTCAATTTACTTTTCTGTAAAAAGGGAAAAAGAACAATGAGAATTTCCTGAAATATGTATACTGGTATCATGATATCAGCACAAGTACGGCACCAGGGGCTCAGAAATGCTGTCTCAACCCCAAATTCTCCCTCCTCTCCATACCTCTGACCCCAGCCCCCACTTCCGCCAGATAAGAAAAACAGGACAGACAACTTTTTGTTGTGTGGGACGAATTTGGAAATCTTAAGGGCTGACTGCAGGTGTAAGGAAGCACATCATTTTCATAGGCATTTGCCTGCCTCCATCCCATTCCCAAGCTCAAGTGTAAAAATGCTGGTCACAAGCCCTACAGCAGGTCACCTCACCCCGTGCAGGCTTAGAAAGGCGTATGTATCCTCACCAGAAACACACACGCAGGAAGGCAAGAGACGTCTCACCTGTAATTTGTTCAAAGAAAGTCCATAGACTAATAATCCTTTAGTTTAATATTTTTGGGAATGGGAGGAGATATGAGTGGGATACGCCAGACTTCAACTTGCCAATTCACCACTCCAAATAAACCCGAGTATAGCCTGTGTAGCTCTGGATGGCAAAATATCACCTCACAGCTCGAGGCAGTCATTCTTTCCTCCCACCCCCCACCCCCCCAAAGATATGAGCTACATTCATGTTAACTTAGCAACTGCCAACAGAGAATTGTGTAAAGGGGTTCATGATTGTGGCTCTCACCTCTTTGAAGTTAACTGAGCACTGGCTACCAAGAGAAGTATTAAGAACCTGACTCAAATCTCCAACTTCCCCAGAGAGTGAAAAAAAAACAAACAAAAAAAAACACTAAAAGGCAAGACATGGGATTGGTAGCATGTCTGTAGAACGAACAGCACATTTATCATCTCTCCAGATTAGAACTGGGGGTTCTTGGCTCTGCCCCTAGGGGAGTATAAAAATGACCCAGAGATGTTAGAGTTAAAACTTAAAAATTCTGCTTCCATCGTTCTCTCTAGAGTAACTTCCTGTGAATCTTTCAGCCTCTGAAAACCATATGCAGAATAAGCACATACAAGGTTTGGTATCCGTTTCTGAAACAATGGTTTGGCAGAAGCTAAAGACAAGGTGGTAAAAATCTACAAAAAGCCTTCCTTCAAAATCCAATGCTGCCCTCTAGCAACTCAAGAGAGGAATAACACTAACAAGCCAACGGGTCAGGTTCAGGATCAACTTTTAAAAATGTTGCTACAAGAGAAAGGGTCTCCACAATTGTACAATAGCCCATCTTAACACAAAATTTCCTTTTAGAAAGATGCTGGGATATGTCAACACAATCTGCACCTACTGGGCTACTCTACAGACTGAAAAGGCCTGAAGACACCCGCCACTGACCTGTTTGAACACAGTTACATGGGATTTATTACTTCCCCAGGCAGAGTCGTTTTATGTCCCTGGAAAAACTTCCTCTCCCCTGACTTTTCCATGTTTCAGAGAGGAGGTGGATTGAAAGCTCTTAGACCTACTTGATACTTCTCACAACCAATACTTCATAAATACATGGTATCGTGTCAGTTTTTCCTAAGAAATGTAGGGACTAGTCTAAAGCAAAGTTATATTACAATTAAAGAATTATGGAATCAATTGCCAACCTTGGAAAGCAAAGGAAACATTTACGTCTTGGTAAGGAGTATTTCCAGGAAGGGGAGTGGCTAATAATTAGTAGGACAAGAGTAACAGGTTTAATCACAACCACTTGAGGTACTACGTCCAGAAAAGGCTTTTCATTTCCACAATCTCTTTTCCAGGACCACTTGGAAGTTCGAAATTCATTCTATGAGATGTCATTGCTCTCATGTCAAGCCGATCAGAGCCTGTCAGTTGTTACCCTGAAACATGGAGAGACCTACGCTGGGAAAGGAGGGCCTACTGATCAGGGCTGGGTGTGAAATAGGAGAACACCCGCCTATGTGACTGCTGGCTGCAGACAGGTGTTTCCGATTTCTCAGGTTTCGTCTTAAAAGAAATGCATCCACGTTAGTGCATCTGTGTGCAGGTGGGGAGGAAAGAACCACATACATTTTTTTTTCATCTTTATTGTTAAAAGTATTACATATGTCCCTTTTCTCCCCCTCATTGACCCCTTCTATCCCACCCGTTCTCCCACATACATTTATTTTCAAACAAAAGTTGCCATGTATTTATTATACATTTCTATTAACTTAAATATGTACAGTTGGCTCAAAAAATCACGATCCGTACATTATCACACATTCTGGAAAGCTTCTCAGATCTATCAGGATGGGCTTCTCTTGTGACTCAACTGAATCTGAGGAAAGAATAGAAGAAATCACACACCTGATGTATAACTGCTGGTCATCAACAAACAAACACACAACATGTACTGACAATGTAATTTTCAGTGGCAAAACAGCTGGAGTGCTTTCCCCCACAGCTAATGTTTTGCTCAATATTATTCTACTTTCAAAAATTCTTTCCTCTATTTAAATCTATATGCACTCCCAGTCTCTCCTCAACATGTATGAATCCCAAAGATCAAATCAGTCAATTGTAATGAATAGGCCCCCTGCAAAGCTCAGCCTCATGTCTACCATGTCTCATTTCAAAGGTCAAACCCTGGGAGAAGCAGCATGTCCTCCTGTTTTAAATTTGGGGCAGCAAAACTAATGACCAGACATTAACTAGGTCTACGACAATCTACTATTAACTAGCTACAGGGCAAGCACTTATAATCTCTCAAGAAACATATAGTATAAAGTAAGAGGATTTGAAGCTCCGGGAAGCTTTAATTCTATCTGAAGATACTTATCTCTCACTGTTCAGTCTCCTTTGTGGATTAAATGTTTAGTAATTACATTAGAGAGCTGACCTCAGAAGAAAAGGGCCAGATTACTGTTGAAATTCCCAAGAATGCTCTGCCGGTGTGGCTCAGGGGTTGAGCATCAACCTATGAACTGAGATCATGGTTCGATTCCCAGTCAAGGCACATACCTGGGTTTTGGGCTCAATCCCCAGTGTGGGGCATGCAGAAGGCAGCTGATCAATGATTCTCATCATGTATGAGAATCTCCCTCACCCTTCCTTTCTGAAATTTATTGATTTAAAGAAAAGAAAAAGAAATTCCCAAGGAAGATTCACGTCCAACCAGGCTCTTCCTAATCTACCTTCCGTCCCACTCCCCCAAAGGAATATAGCAACACAGGGGCAAAGAAACAAAGATCAGCTAATGTGGTCCTTTTGCCACTGACAGCAATGGGCGTAACCTTAAAACCTGAAGAAGCAATTTAAAGGATTTTCTTACTTCAAATAATCTCTTTAGAAGTCTGAGTAATGGTGCAACCTGCAAAAGTAAAAGACAAATCATCTAAACAACTTTGTGATAACCCAGAGTACTGTCAATCAGATCACAGAAGGGCACTTGGGGATATTTTAAGGGGGTAGGAGGATGGAATATAATCAGTCATTCTCACCAGGCAGCTAGGTTGACTTCTCAATCGGACATTCTGAAGGAGTCTAATGCTAACACCTCAGATTTTAGATGAAAGTCTTAAGCTTGTCCCAAAGCATCAAACTGGGGTCTAAGAAATACCTGACCAGCCATACCCCACAGAAATGTTGTCAGTCCAACCTACTTGTCAGAAACTCTCACTGGAGAGCAACGCTCTGGTGAAAACGCTAATGGCCTGTGGGGCTTACTTAAACAAAAGAAAATTTCAGTTATAATAAACCGAAGGAAGAGAATTTCTAAGTGCAACAAGACTCTCTATTCTTTTATATAATCCAAACTGAAAGAATCACCAAAAATGATCTGAAATGAGGATGGAAAATATCAATTTTCCAGGTATAACCCATTTTCCTTTCAAAGTAAGTTGAACTTGAAACCATATTATTGTTTGCTATATTCTTTTCACAGCTATAGCCTCAAAGTCAATTTACATGCCTCCTTTTCTTCACTCCAGATTTCATTTTATTTCGAAAACAGATCTTCCCCAAAGCATATAAACATAAACACAGGCTTCTATGCAGCACCCACTACCAACACAAGGGAGCAAGGCGGTGGGGCTGTGATAGAAGTCACAGGTTTCCAGCTCTTCGGTTCTCCCTGAAGAGCCACCTGTCACAGAAATCTCCTGGCAACAATGCTACTAGATTTCACTTGTTCCTGCTCTACAGCCAAGTATATTGAGTGCAGAAAAGACCCTGGACAGAGCATAACTTTTGGATATCTTTGTGGTTAACATCCTTATTTATAGCTTACAGCTGCAGGAAAAGAATTTTTTTTTAATGTAAATCTCATGAGTAAATGGTGAACTGCCAAATCAACATAAGGCACAAGAAAATGGCAATATTATTAAAGTGGCTACTTTTCCTCAATTTGACATTCTCAAAATACAGCTTACTCAACAAATAAAAAATAAAATTAAAACATCCCCAGGTGAACCTTTCTGCTAGTGCCATTTTATGGTAGACAAATGCACATTTTGTTAGATAATAGAGATGAGATGTCAAACTCTACACTCTACAATTAATAACTTATTGTAATTGATTACAGACTTAACAAATTATATATAATTTGTTAACAATAGCATCTCTTCACATTTTCGAAGGAAGATTATAGATATTTCTGACTTTTACACATAAATAATACCTACCTATATAGTAGGGCCCTGCCCTTTTCATTCCCCAAAGCAACATATCCACTTCTTGGAGAAAAATCCATGGTATGCACAAGAGAAATATTATTCTGCTTAAAGACAGGGAAGTTTGAAAATACTGTACAGGAAGGAAGGTGAACCTGCAGGAAATAATGAAAAGCTTTACATTTCAACAACTGGGAACTCAACTTTCTTAAATTTTAATCTTCACTCTATCTTTTAGCTGGAACAAAAAGCTCATTTTGACTAAGTACACATTAATGTAGCAAAATATTCCAAAATTAAAATTTGATTTTCAAATTTGAGAGGGAAGGGAAGGAAGAGAAAAAAGCATTTTCTTGATGTTTTTAAAGCTGCATCTAGCATGGTGCCTGGGAGATTCAAATGCTTGCCAAATAAATGAATAAACTAAGTCAATAGAAATACCCATTAATGCTCTCACTTAATGACCACAGTAAAGAATACTAAAATCTGTCACAGGGAACGGATACTTTAAACATTATGAAGAGTCTGATTTTACATGACTGAAGCCTCGGCAAAGTCATGCCACGTATTCCAATAGCATGTAACTTATTTTCTCGCTTTTACTTTTCAACTATGCCACACATCCTTTGCCTTTGGCAATCTCTCCTCAAGGAGGACTGGATCATGAAAACCTGGTTTCTCAAGTGAAACTGTGTTCTGACTTAGAGCTGAAAGCTCCCCTCAAGGCCAGGCCTAAGCACATAGGCACACAGCCTCTTTCTCCACGAGTCTCTGGGGAAAAATGAGCTCAGGTCCAGGATAGGCGAGACAAGCCCTCACCCAGTTTGCAGATAAGTAAAATTCAAGCATGGAATCAGTTACCTTAAGCAGAATAGGACTTTAACAGCCCTCACTTTCAAATGTTCTCTAGCTCTTCCAAGAAATACAGCATCCCCACATTCATACAGTTATCATTCAGCCGGTTATCTTGGTAGTCTGCCATCCTCCACATTTCTAGATGAGACTTTAAACCATCCAATCAGGTGGTTTTCATAGACAAGTACTATTAATATATGCATTTGTCTATTAAACAGGTTTTAGTCAGTCACTTACCAGTATTAGATCCTACTCCCTGATATATACCTATGGACCATTATATGTCAAGAAAGTATGTAGTGAATCCCCAAGTC